GGTCAGAACTTCTGCACTAATCTCACCATCTTGTTGTGTCGACATCTTGCATTATCGATGAGCTTATAGGTCATGTATTGGCTTATTTATTAATGACTTCTGCTCTGACCATACTTTGCTCTAGTCGACTGAATTTAGTACTCAATGATATAAATTAAGAGTTGGTCATTTTTTTTTAGTCATCATATGTCCCCTTTCAAAAGAATCAATGGTGCATGATCTTGTTTTTTAATATCCATAAATCATCATTCGCTTTGGAATTTGAAGGGATATGCATTTAATGTTTGCACCGATTTATCCTTGATCTTAGCAACCATTATCCAATTTTTATTTTTTTTTGCCCTTTCCTCTAACAAACCAACCCGTCTCATCAGTAGCACGTTTCGCAGATAGAACAGTATGTAAGCAAGGATAACTCCGCGTTATCTTCACTTTTTGCTAATTCTCTAGTTTTCAACCCTCACTCCCGAGCTTTTCTTCTTCGCTTCATTTATTTCGCGAAAAATAAATAATTTACTAAATATATTTTTTTAAAATGATCGCTTGTACTAAATATTTATTTCCGGACTCTACAACCGATAACCCAGTTCACCTTGTACATAACTTAGAAACATGCACTTTCTTGCCCTTCTATCGAGCTTACCATCACTAATTCTAACATAACATGGGCAACCAAATATTCTAAGAACAGAATAATCAGCAACGTTACCTGACCATAGTTCTTCGAGAGTCCAATATCTAATCGCAGTTGATGGGGATCTATTCATCAGCTAGCTCGCTATAATAAGCACATCCGCCGAGAATATCCTAGACAAACCAACACTAGAAAGCATTTTATGGGTCTTCTCTAGTAATGTTCTACTAATCAACTCTGTAACATGATGTAGTTCATTGGCACTAGCACGTGTTTCACTATGCCTTTCTTCATGCAGAATTCGTTTAACAGCTTCAAGCAAAACTCAATTCTACTATCAGTCCGCGCATGCTTGATCGTTTTACTAATCTCCTTTTTTATCAAAGGTCTCAACTACTTGATCCTAACAATAGTATCAAAAACACTCAAGTCTTTCTCGAGTAGTAGTTCATAGCTATTAGCATAAATCCGGCACTCTTCCAAGGAAATCGTGACAACCTACGAACATTCAAGTGAACTAACTCTGCAATCTCCATGATTATCTTTAACAGTCATACTGAACTTCACTTTTCGCCATTTACCTAAGTCACAACACATGCATACATTCAGTTCACCACCAACATAACCACATAGCAAATTCCTTTCACTTGAAAACTTTGGGCTTTTCTCACTAATGTACCCCAAACGCATATATCACAATTCAAACTCTCGAACATATGCATTTGACGTCTTCACGGCGAAAGTCGTCACTGTCATCTTGAAGCTCATACAGGCCACTGTGCATTATTTCTCTTATTATCACAAAGACACCTTGAACAACCTTATGAATTCCACTTCTGAAATATACCGACACCCAGTCGAATCCATAACACTTAAGAAAATCAAGTTCTTTTTCAATTCTTGAACATGTCTCCCTCTAGTCAATGTTATCACAATACCATCATGCATTTTGATTCTAAGATTGTTAACACCTATAACATCGCACTCAGCGTTGTTCCTCGACTACACTTTACTACTATCCATATACTGATAAATAGTAAACTAGTTCCTATTTGGTGTAACATGAAACGAACAATCCTAATCCATAATCCATCCATCAAACGATGAAACATCAATGACAAATATGTAATCAGCACTATCCGAATTACAGTAAGTTACAATTGAATCAATTCTAATACCCTTACCCTTGTTATATTTTAGCTTAAAGCTATCACTTTTAAGATGACCCCTCTTGCCACAACTCCAACAGACATCACCATCAGTCATAGACTGATTACGTTTATTTGGGTTTCTACTACTTTTGCTAACACAATTACCAATTCTTTCTCAACTTTCACCTACTAAAGCAACAAATTCAGGTTCACCAAATTCATTCTTATGGATATCCTCACTCATAATCACATCATGAACTCCATCAAATGTCAAGCTTGTTGACCCAAAGGATTACTTACAGTAATAACAGTAGTATTCCAATTATTAGGCAATGGGGATAATAGAATCAAAGCACGTACCTTATATTCAAAGGCAATCTCCACTAAACTCTATTTACTAATGATCACATTGAATTCATTGATATCATCAGCAATTAATGCACATTTGCTCATCTTTAAGTTAGACAAATGTTTCATTAAATATACCTTGTTAATCGTAGAGGGCTCCATCAATCCCATAGTGGTTTTCTTTTTCACAATGCTAAACGCGACATTACAAGCCAACGCCAGCCGAATAACACCCAACGCTTGTCTAATTAGCAATTCCTATTCGGCTTGCTTCATCGACTTTGGTTTCTACCTAGATAGGGCTGAGTGCAAATTCCTCCGATATAAATAATCCCCAATTTGCATCTTTCGGAAACCAAAATCATTCGCATGAAATTTGTCGATTTTCACCTTTCCCTCTTCCATTCCCATTGATTCGCTTCAACTTAGCCAAGTATGGCTCTAATACCAATTGTTTCGAAAATAAGCAATTGAACAATAAAAGAAACAGAACAAGAAAACAAATGAATATCGGATTTACATGGTTCGGTCGTAATGACTTATGTCCACCGGGAGAGCAGTGATGAATTCCACTATAGATCAAGCTATACAACGGACATTACAATCACATTCGAGTCACTTAAACAAGTTCAGTGCTTTCCAACTCCCGATTACACCCAATAACTCATAAGCGTTTAGCCCTTACAATTCCTCATGAAATAATCTCTCATCTCACAAAGAAATTAAAAAATCTTACCACAAGATGTAATTGATTTCAACACTAGAAGCTCTTAGTTTTTTGGATGCAATTCACAAACAAAGCTTCACTGCACAAAGACCCACTGCCAAGCACCCAGCACCTACAGATGGCGCTCACAAATTAAGCACCCACAACACTCACTTATAAAATGGCGCTTCAACAATTCCAAAGAGACATAAAAATACATCCCAGAATATATATATATATATATATATATATATATATATATGTATGTATGTATGTATGTATATATGTATGTATATATGTATGTATGTATATGCCGAGACATGAAACCAAGTCTAACTCCAATGAGGCAATATCAAACTGGCTCTACCAAGGAAAGATATCCGTATCTTTTATTTCTTTCTTGCACCGATGTTGACCGAGTCAAAGAAGAAAGCTTACATGGACATTCCTTTTTTTTTTTGTTATCTTGACCGAAGTCAATATGGAAACAATTTCCGTAAGATCCACATTGAACTTCGGCTTTGGACTTTTACGTACTGGATAATTTAATTCAAGTCGGGTTCATTCAACGAGTTTAAATTTGAGATATATTTTAACAAGGAACTCATAAGGTGTGATCTGATATTGGGACGAGAAATCTCCATGAAAAGTTTCAATTTGGGAAGAAACTTTTGTTCCGGTCTAACCCCAAAGCCCAAGTCGGACCATTGTGAGATGCTTTTCCATTTAGTTTTGCTGACAAAAGGAATAGTTTAAGAAGCTTCGTATTAACTGCTGAAAACTAAACTTGTAAACGCTGACTGTATTGATATATAACCCCGAGACTACATGGGACTTAATTAGTCGATCAACTTTAAGCCAAAACTCAGTTATTGAAGTAAACTATGACCTACTTTCATATGCCCAATTAAAAAAATTAAAACTAGTAATGGTAGGACGAATGATTGAGAGGGACTCTCAGCGGTTGAGTAGAAGCTAGGGAGATATAATGCTGGATGGGTGGCGGTGAAGGCGCTAGCAGTGTCACCGGCGGTTGTGTTCGCGGCAACAACCATGTTGGGAGCATTGTTATTGCAGAAGAACGGAGATGGTAATGAACAAGATGTAAAACCTCTTATGAGAAAATGTCAAATAAATGACACAGAAATTTAGACAATTAGTAATTAAAAAGAAAGTTAAAGATTGTTTAAGGAAAAGCACAAGTCGCAAAAGGCTAAAGCATAAGTCGTCAATTTTATGGAAAAGCACGAGTCGTAAAGCATGTTAACACAAACTAGTAACTAATTTAAAGAAAAAGCACAAGTCCTAGAGGCTTTTTATGCACACATTTTGTTCATGGTCATTAAAGCGAGTACCAGTAACTAAAGATTTCTTCGGAAGAGACTTTTATTCATGACCATCTTGAAGAATATAATAAATATTCATGTATAAATGGTTTTTTAATTCAATTTTTCTCCTATAAAGACATTACTTGATCTAGATGCTACCATTCCGACAAGGCAAACATATTCACGTGATTCAAATAGAGCTGGGAAACGACCGATTCCGGGCCGGTTTTTCACTATAACAAGTTTACTTCCTGCTTCCAATATTCCAGAACCATCAATTCAGATACCTATACGCGTGCTTGCTAGCTGCGGCATAAGATTATAGGAAAATGAGATTACTACCGTTTTATTAGGTTTACGCGGCATAACCTTTGCCCTCTCAATTTCAGCTTCACCAACATTTCTTCCTGTCGTTTTCTCTTAGCATTGATTTCGCAACATGCTCAGACCGATGTGGGGCAGAGCGGGGATCGAACCCGCGTCTTCTCCTGGGCAAAGAGAGATTTTACCATTCTACTATATCCGCATTTTTTTTTTGTTCTTGATACATTGATACGGGGTGTCTGGATAATATGTATCCCTAGCTAGGCCAGATACTCTGTTCAGGTATGGAAAACGTGTTTCTTCATCTCGACGTGGAGGTAATACGCGGAACTTGGGAGGCCCGTTATCTTGTACTGGTTCATTTTCACCAGAAGTTATTGCAATAATTACATTAAAAAACCCCACGCTAAAATAATGGAAGACCTTGCATACCCAAAGTGACGTTCGCATTAGATCATCCACACGTTGCATGGGCCATGAAAATCCACTATATATACACGATCCACCAAGCGGTTGGTCAATTGAACTGATTGAAGAGAGCAAAACAAAATCGACCCAAAAGATGGCGTTTCCTAGCTCTCTGCTACTTTCACAGATTCTCTTGCTTTTCTTGGTCTCGTCGTTTTCATGGACATCTGCGACTTACCCCATTCAGCAGACCTTCTTTCGTTGCCTTTCGACCAATTCCATGGACCCTGTTCCTCTTTCCTCGTATTACACCCCGAATAATGTCTCTTCCTTCACATCCGTCCTCAATTCAACGGCGAACAACCTCCGGTACTTGCTCCCAACGGTACCGAAGCCCTTGATCATCTTCACCGCACTTTCTGAGGTCCATGTCCAAGCTGCTGTCGTCTGCTCGAAGCGGCTCGGGCTCGCCCTCCGCATCCGGAGCGGGGGCCACGACTATGAGGCGGTGTCCTACGTGTCCCAGATTGAGTCCCCCTTCGTTGTGCTCGACCTGGCCCCACTCCGTGCCATCGAGGTGGACATCCCCCAGGGCATGGCGTGGGCCCAGGCAGGGGCCACGGTCGGGGAGGTCTATTACCGGATCGCCGAGAAGAGCAAGGTTCACGGGTTCCCGATGGGCCTGTGCACGAGCCTGGGCGTCGGGGGCCACATCACCGGCGGGGCCTACGGGTCAATGATGAGGAAGTTTGGGCTTGGGGCTGACAACGTGCTCGACGTCCGGATGGTCGACGCCAAGGGGAAGATTCTTGACAGGAAGGCGATGGGGGAGGACCTGTTCTGGGCTCTCAGGGGAGGAGGCGGAGGCAGTTTTGGCATAATCCTGGCCTGGAAGCTGAAATTGGTCAATGTGCCTGAGACTGTGACTGTGTTCACAGTCACCAAGACCCTCGAACAAGGCGCAACGAAGCTCCTGTACAAATGGCAAAAAGTAGCACCAAAGCTCGACGACAGGCTCTTCATCAGAGTCATCATCCAGGCCTCGAGCGCCAATCTAACGGCGAACCGGACGGTGATGACCTCCTACAACGCCCTCTTCCTAGGAGACCCGGACACCCTCCTCGGAATCATGGGCAAGGGCTTCCCGGAGCTGGGCCTGACGCGGGCCAACTGTGTCGAGACAAGCTGGATTCAGTCAGTCCTGTACATCCAAGGGTACCCGAACACGACCGCCCCAGAGGTCCTCCTACAGGGGAAGCCACTGTTCCGGAACTATTTCAAGGCCAAGTCCGACTTCGTGAGGACCCCGATCTCCGAGGAGGGACTCTTGGGCCTGTGGAAGATATACTTCGAGGAGGAGGTCCCATTCATGATATGGAACCCGTACGGTGGGGCGATGGCCCGGGTCCCTGAGTCGGCGACACCGTTCCCGCACCGGTGGGGAACACTGTTCAAGATTCAGTATGTGGCGACCTGGCAGGATGGGACCGAGAGCATGGCCAGGCACATGAGCTGGATCGGGAAGTTGTATGACTACATGGGAGCTTATGTGTCCAAGAATCCCAGAGAGGCCTATGTGAATTACAGGGATCTCGATTTGGGCATGAACAAGAAAGGTTACAACAGCTTGATGGAGGCGAGCTCTTGGGGTCTGAGGTATTTCAAGGGCAATTTCAACAGGTTGGTTCAGGTCAAGAGCAGGGTCGACCCTGATAACTTCTTTAGGCATGAGCAGAGCATTCCTCCTCTTCCTGTGAATAAAGGGAAATAGAGAGTATTGATTGATTAGTGTAAGATTTGCTTGGACCACTACAGAGTTTGATGGCTAGTGGCTTTTCTTCTTTTTCTTTTTCTTTTCCTTTCTTTTTACTCTTTTGGTTTTGGCCTTTTTCCCCCCTCTTTGGAGTAACTGCATGGCAGTGTGCACTGTGAGCTTAATCATAGACAAACATCAGTTTCCATCTCTCTCTCTCTCTCTCTCTCTCTCTCTCTCTCTCTCTCTCTCTCAATACTTTTATTTTCTTATGTTGATCTCATATCTTCCTGCCTAAGCTGTAAAAGACAAACTCTATACTTTTTTAGAAAAAGCTAAGCATCGAATGAGCTGCGCTTCCAAATGCCTTAGGGATGTGATGGCCAAAGAGGGTGGCTGTCATTGTCGAACATGAACCAGCATTACGTATGTTTCCCAAGATTGATTACACAATCTGTTTATAAAGCGACGTCAGCATCCTGTTTAATGTTTCCACTTGTCCCACTAATCCACTAATTTTTGCCGCTCCCTTTATTGTTGATGGGTTAATTATCGAGCTTTGCTTTTATTGGACCTGAAGTTGGTCAAGGTGCCGTTACGGGCCAAGCTATAGAAAGTATTGCAAGACAGCATGAGGTGGAGCAAAAAAACGAGGCACTTTGTTACTTAGCCTGCTTTCATGGAAGCGTTAACAATTTATGGATTGGTTGTAGCCTTAGCGCATTTATTTGCGAATCCTTTTGCGTAATTTGATAAATATAAAAAGTACATATTTTTTTTCCTTTTTTTTTATGGCCGGGGCTTGCTCCTTGTTATTTCGAAGGGTTCGACGCATGGGGAAATTTCGTGAATCAACTTTTGCGGGTTAGATTACGCCATCAATCAACTTCTATGGATTGACCAAGACGTATGGCAATCTTTTGCTAAGGACGTATGTGGGGGAAGTAAATTTGTCCATCATGTCATGGGAAATAATTTAGTCGAATCACATCAAGGGCACTATTCTATTGACCCACGTCATAATGAGGGGAGTTTTGTAATTTACTCTCACAAGCATTATCTTTCATTTGGATTTCTTACCGTTTTTATATCCCATGAAATCACGGGAACGTGGGAGGTGGTCAGTCCATTTCAGTTCACTATTACCACGTGAGTGTCAGGAGTGAGGAAACCTTGTGACCTTCTTTTTGTTAAAATCATTCGATGCTTCCATGAGTGCATATATCATGCCCATTTTTTCTACCAGTCTAATGTTGGTTCTCCTACTCCTAGGGATCACCAACTTTTTGATGAGTCATATCAGTACTTTTTGTTTTCATTTCAAGAAAATAAGGATCGATTATCCGAATCTTTGACAATTCTAGTCTCTGAATGCACGCAAACTGCGTCATGTACTTCATTCACAAGCCCTAGCATGATATAAATTGAGGGTTTGTCAGATTCGAATAAAATGTTTGACCACTCAATTTACTCCTGGGATTTGACCAAAAAAGATTTACTCCTTGGAGATTACATTAGTACTCCGGCACTCATATTATGAATTTCCGGATGATGGCTTCTAAGACAGTCATTTTTAATTCTTTCCTAGGTCAAGTACACTTGTTTTATTTTTGCATTTCTGGGTACACTTTCGGTCCCCAACTATTTTTTTGTGTAGTCCTCTATCTTCTTTTCATTCATCCAATAGAGTATTTTAACTATTACCAAATACAAAATCCAATACCTTAAATCAGCAATTCGGATAATTATGTTAGGGAAAAGTATCAAAAAAGTCATAAACCTATTGTATTGATATCAATTCAGTCCTAAACATTTCAATTGGTCCAATTTAGTTCTAAACCTTTTGCATTTGTGTCAATTTGTTCCATCCTACCAATTTAGGTCGGAAATCATTGATGTGAATGCCAATAGTCCTACATAATACGGCTAACACTGACATGCACATTTTTTATAATTTTTTGATAAATTTTTATTTTTTAATAATTTTTTTTATTTCCCTTTCTGGCCACTACCAAAAAGAAAAGGGAAAGAAAAGAAGAGAGCAAAAAAAAATTATAAAAAAATCAAAAATTTTATAAAAGAATTATTACAAAAAAAGTCTACGTCAATGTTGTCCGTGCCAAGTAGGACCGTTCACATCCACATCAGTGATTTCTTGCCTAAATTTGGTCAAATGAATTGAATTGGCACAAATGCAAAAGGATTAGGAATAAATTAGTCCAATTGAAAGGTTTAGGATTGAATTGGTACAAATACAATAGATTTAGGACTTTTTTGGTGCTTTTTCCCAATTATGTTACCATGACAGTACCAATGCTAGGAGAATTGTAATGTGGAACTGATGTGGCACACCGCATCTGTATTATAAAAAAGCTTTAAGATGGTGGAGAGAAAGAGGGAGGGAGGCTGGCACTTGCGAGGGTTGATGACCCTCACTAGAGACCAGGCGAGGTTGCTCGACCATTGCTTGTTTGTGGCTACTAACCAGACATAGTTGTGCTTACCTAGTTATGATAGCGAAGGCCTTGCCCAGGTCTAACGAAGTCCCATTCACTCTCACCTTGCCATGGCGAGTGCTAGCGGTCGGGCCCTCTTCAGCAGTAGGCGAGACCCAGCCTCCCCCCTCTCATGGAAACTTTGTCACATCAGCCAGTTGAGGGACATGAACGCATTAGATGTCCCTTGATTTGCCCATAAGATGTCTCTTGCCACATCAAGGAATGAAGGAATGAAGGGCATCTAACACTTGGTTTCTGTATCCCTTCATATCCTTCCAACCTTATCTTAGTATCATATGACGCATTCGAAATGCCAAATTGAGGGCAACGCATCACTAAGTTTAGTGTTACTAGATGAAGAGAGGCATGATGTCTTGCATGAAGTCACTTTACGAATCAATTAGGAGCGTACGCATGACGACCGGAGCAGTTGTGAAACAACAATTAGAGACAATTAAAGCATGGGAAGGAATATTTTATTGACTAAAGTATGCCTGGCAATTGATAGGGATTGCATAACCTGAGGCCCCTCTCTCTGACCAATCCATGCCTATCATTAGCGTTCCAAAAATGAAAGTGATTTTGTTAACATATATCTAAACAACGAAAGTTTGCCATTTTCAAAACACTACCTTTCTCGTGTTATGCGCAATCACCACATCGACAATGAAAAAACTTTGTTTATTAAGGCTCCGTTCGTTTCGCAAAAAATGACGTTTTTGAAAAATGTTTTCCAGAAAGTAATAACAATATTTTCCGATATTCGGCTGAGACCTGAAAATGAACCGAAAATTATTTTCATCGTTCGATACAGAAAATCTTATTTGATTTTCCTCCTTCCACTCATTTCAATAATTTTTTTATTTTATTTTACTATTTAAAAAAATTCAAATGTTTAATTATTTTTTTATTTTTGAGTTTTTGAATAAATTTTTATATTTCTTTTCTTTTCTTTTCTTTCTCTTCTATTTTTTCTTTTCTTTCTTCCTCTGCTAGTTGCTAGCCACAGCGACGGCCGGCAACCGACCATAGGTGAGGCTTGGCCTCGCCCGAGGCCTCGCCTCGTCGGCCATGGGCAAGCTCGTCCCTCGCCTTGCCCATGGCCAATCGCTGGCCGTCGCCGTGGCCAGCAACCAACAAAGAAAAAAGAAAAGAAAAGAAAATTAAAATTATAAAATAAAAAATAAATTGATAAAAGAAAAGAAAAAAATAATTAAAAAGAAAATGAATGTGAAGGAGTGTAGAGAGGAAAGAGAAAAGAGGAAATCATTTTCCCCAGTTTTGAAGTTATTTTTTCATTGAAGGAAAACTGTTTTTCTTAACTAATTTATTTTTCATGAATAGAACACCCGAAAATCCAAAAAATCCAGAAATTGTTTTGTGCAAAACAAACGAAACCTAAGAATATCTAACACGTGTCCTGTATGCACCCGTTACCAAGACTTCAATTACAAAATGGCGAAAGCAAGATTAGTACAAAATTGGGTAGGTGGGAACAATCACCAAAAAGTATCCCGACAGGGATCATTAATAAACCCTAAGCTCCACTGTGCCAGGCTAATCTCCATGAGGGGGTGGCAGTTAAAGTCCTTTGATTGAGCAATAATTCGGGAAGTAGGAGCGGATTCAGTGTAATTATAGCAAAAGGGCAAGAGGAACCCCTCGGTGAGGATTCCACGACAGGTCAGGTCAGGCATAGCAGGACAAACTCATGGCTGGTTGGTGGTTGAGGCAACGACAAAGTCCCAAGTAATTGTCTGGTTTCACGTGTATGGTGAACGTGAATAATGTCTATTGGCATTTGCTGCTGCAGTTGGACTTTGGGAATGGAATATGTCGTTCGCACAAAGGGCACATCTCAGAGAGTTGGTGAAAAGGGTCGAGCCAAAAGGGAGAGGACAAGGAGCGTTTGGCTGAACCGGCAAGGAGATGTTGATGATGCATTTCATAATCTTCTCACCGGATTAAAGAATAGACGTCGACTTTTGACCCTCGAACCTTAGCTGCGATACTCTACTAACTAACCTTTAAGATTTTTGTGTTTTTTTCTAACTAGCCTTTATCCTTCAGAGGCAAGCCTATTAAAGTAAATTTTTTATCTAAAAGATGGTGGTTGGGTACCATTTCGGGAAAAGTACCGAAAAAGTCTTAAACATAGTGTATGGGTACCAATTCAGTTATAAACATTTCAATTTGATCAATTTAGTTATAAACCTTTTCATATTGATATCAATTCAGTCCATCTGGCCAATTTAGGCCGGAAATCGCTGACATAGACGCCGGCCGTCCTATGTGGCACGGCCGGCGGACAGTTGGCACTGACGTGGAATTTTTAAATATTTTTTTTCCAAATTTTTAATGGTTTTTTTCCTTTTTTTTTCCATTCTTTTTTTCTTTTTTTTCCTTCCCTCTCCTTCCTTGGGCCTATGGCCGGCGGACAGTTGGCACTGACGTGGAATTTTTAAATAATTTTTTCCAAATTTTTAATGTTTTTTTTTCTATTCTTTTTTTCTTTTTTTTCCTTCCCTCTCCTTCCTTGGGCCTGTGGCAGGTACTCGGCCATGGCCGGTGACCAACCACAAACAACGACCGACGAGGGCATCACAACCCTTGCAAGCCATAGATGAGGGTGGCCCTCGCCAGCAAGTGCAACCCTCCCCTATGGCCGACGAGGGCTGCGACGCCCTCACCGGTCCTCGTCGGTAGCTGGTCACCAGCCATGGCCAAGTACCAGCCACAAGCAAAGGAGAAGGAAGGAAAAACAAAGGAAAAAAAGAGAGGAAAAAATATTAAAAAATGTCAACGTCAATGCCAGCCATCCACATCAGTGAGTTTCGGCCTAAATTGACCGGATGGATTGAATTGATACCAATGTGAAAAGGTTTAGGACTAAATTGATCAAATTGAAAGGTTTAGGACTGAATTGGTACCAATGCAATAGATTTAAAACTTTTTTTGTACTTTTCCCATACCATTTCCCACTTCGCCTAACGATCCCTGCCCTCCCGATCTGGCCAAAGCATTGTGCACACTCCGACCCCTCTCCCTCACTAGTCACTATTTCCTTTTGTCTTTGTTATAGCACGAGCATAAACGTGCGCGATGTTGCTCCTATGGTTATGAATTATATGATGTTTCACTACCAACCAAATAAATGCAATTCTAACATGTCTAAAATATATATTTGAAAAATTTTATGAAATCACTTACAAATTTTTAAAACCGTTTATAACCTCTTCGAAATCTGATTCTCTTTGCCATGTCAATGCAATCTTTACAACTTAAAATGATTTATTCGATTTCAAGTTCTGAAAAAATTAATTATTGCTCAAATAAGCAACAACAATCGAGTCAAGATGAATGCATGGTTCAATACTTAAACATTTTAATATTCCGCCCACACATGGGCTTGAATTTGGCCTAAAGCTTAAACGTGAAAATCTATAATTAAGGTGGTAAATAAGGATTCTAGAAGATTTAAATACGAAGCTCATGCTCTCCTATTATGATGAACTTTGTAAAATCATGGTCAATTGTTTTGAAAAAAGTTAACTGCTATGTGCAGGCACGATTTTACATTTAGATGCTCTAACTCTATATGTGGATGTATATCATATGTCTTGACTTGCAGAAAAGAAAAAAATAAAATCTCTCTAATTTCGTATTAGATTAAGAGCGACTCTATTGCCACTCTCAATATGGTTAAAACGCTTTCTTTATTATTATTATTTTGGGTCGAAACTTTCTTTATTAATTGAAAAGTCTAAAATACCATCAATTTAAGTTGGCAACAAAGTTGGCAAGAAAATGCAAGTAAATTGGGATCGAAACACCACCTTTCTTGAAGCCAAAAAAAAATAGAAAAATGCAGACACAACCCAACTAAAAATCCCATGAAGAGAAGCTGCAATACTCGAAAATAAGCAGTCCACTGAAGATAACCTGCAAAGCAAAAAATGAAGATATTGCCAGCCGACAAACGGATTCAAACTTCCATAGCAAGAAGATGGAGTTGGGCTGTGTGTTTAGATCCCAGTTTACGTACCTGATAATTTAATTCGGGTTCTTATGATGTCATTGAACTTCGGCATTGGGCTTTTATGTACCTGATAATTTAATTCGGATCAATTCGTTCAACGGGTTTAAACTTGAAATATATTTTAACAAGGATAAAAGGCCATGATAATTAAGCGTGTCGGCGTGTTGACTATTGTCATAACACTGTTACACTCGAGCTACTTGCAGCTTCACTTGAACTTGGTTGAGGCGAGTTCGAATTGGCCGGTCGAACTCAATGAGCTCACGAGTAGCTCGCCTTGCTTGTGCCTCCGAGCGAGTGGCTTCCCCGGTCATGAAATTCTCTGAAACAGAAGCCCTAGTACATTACTGACGCAAATATATTCATGTTGTTTCATTTTCTCAAGGTGTACAAACGATTCTAATTTCACAGGGAGGTGGTGGCGAAGCAACGGGATGCTACGACATGACTTGTCCAGGTTTCGTGCAGATCAGTCCCAGCCTTCCCGTTGGATTTGTGCTGCGAAATGTTAGTGTTTATGGTCAAGGTCCATACGATATAATTGTTCGAAAATTTCGGCGGCGAGGCGTCAAGGATAAGTTTCAGAGGACAAGCGGACCACGCCCCTGGCTGCCCAAGCCCTCCGATGGCGAGCGGTCACTTCCCGGACCACAATTTCATCCTCTCCGGCTATGTCCGACTAATCCGCTACATGAGCAAGGACAAACGATTGGTGGATCTGAGCCCGGGCGGTGTGGCAACTCACGTGGACGTCCCGCTCTGCTACAACGCGACCGATGAAGGGAACTTGGGAGGCATTACGGGATACGCCACGACATTCAGTGGACCGGGCAGAAATCGCGATTGAATAATGTTTTTAACGTGGTGGACAAGAAAAAATAAAATAACCATCTTTTCATCTGTGGACAATTTTCCAGTGTACGTGCTAAATGAGCCGTGTTTACGATTGGTTATGATGCATGTAATAATGTGGAAAATGATAATGTTAGGAACAAGAACTTTAGACGCATGCACAAAACAATCACCTGCAGCAAAACCGCAAAGAGTTGGGCAAGCATGAGCCTACACATCTTTGCACGGACCCCTTACCACTTACTCCATAGTCTTTTTAACTCATCCACTCTCTCGCTCTCTCTCTCTCTCTCCTTGACCGGCCACCAGGAGAGCTGCCGCGGCTGCTGCCGCCTCCCTCACCACCGCGACAGGAGCGTTGAACTCTGTAGCCGCCAGAGTCAAAACTCCGTAGCCGCCGGCACCGGTGGCTGTCGACCACCAAAGGCCATCGTGTCTAGTCTTTCCCTCGCTCTGTCCCTCTCTTCAATCAAAACCAGATCGTGCCCCTAGTCATGGCCACGGTTCAGGAACCGTCGGTTCCGGTTCGTGGCCATGTATGAACCACGGGCCGGTTCGGGCGTCCGGGTTCCACGGTTCGAACCTAGAGTGTCCATTGCTCGGGAGCCGATTGTACGGGTGCATCGAATCCGGCGCGGGACGGCACGTCGGATCTTCTTCTTCTTCTTCTTCTTTGCTCCTCCCTCCTCGCGCTCTCTTTCCCGCTCGCCGGATCGTCACATCGCCGGCGGAGTTGCCGTGGATTCTCTCGCTCGCGCGCTCCCGGGATTTCGATGCTTCGTTCGGTTCGTTGTGGTTTGGACTGCGGAGAGAGAGAGAGAGGGAGGGAGGGAAGGACTTCCGGACAGGCGTCGTCTCGATCTCGAAGGCTCCTCGCATCCGCGCATCGCGACGGTGATCGACTGGCCGGCGCTCGCAGCTCCTCCGTCGCCGCCGCCGCCGGGGATTAGCTCCATCGGCGCCGCATCCGCGCCACATCAATCACAGTAGAGAGAGGGAGAGAGCGGGAGAAGTTCCGGTGGGTTATCTTTTTATTTTATTTTTTTATTTTATTTTTGCCCGTTTCCAAGGCAGCCTTTGCAGTGCTGCCTTGGAAACGGGCAATAGAGGGCTCCGCACCGCCTGCAGGTTTTTTTTTTTTTTTTAAATTTTTAAATTTTTTTTTGGAACCGGGCCCGGAACCGCCGGTTCCAAAATTGCTGGAACCGGAACCGGAACCGGGCCCGTAGGCCACGGGCCGGTTCCGAACCGCGGGCCCGATCAACGGGCCGGGTCCAGGTTTGACCGGGCCGGTTCCGGGCCGAAACCGGCCCGTGGCCATGACTACGTGCCCCCTTCTGTCGCGGAGGGTTGATCTTGTGTCAGAGTTTAGGGAGCCCAAAGGCCCAACAGGAAAAGCCTGCCCAATCTCTCTCTCTAAAGTTGAGCGCTATAGAAATTCTGAGACTTACATCAGAAATGCATGTAATTCCGTCACTTCTATTTATTAAGGTGACTGGATGATTCTACATGATACGTTTTTTCCCTTTTTCTCCCTACGTGGCTATATTAGATTGTAATTGGCTTCAAACGCGTCAAAATAGGGCATGCACGAACGAAGCATGCACATCGTCTAAACAAATGACTCGAGAGTCGGGCGAGGCAAAGCGGGAGGAATTACTGCAGAGGACATGGCAGCTCTATTCTCGTCCTTCACCGCCGGCACGAGCAAAGGCATCATCTCCTCTCACAAAAACCTAGTCAGGTGAGGACTTTGCAAGGCCTTGGAATGACCGAGATGAAGGACATTTGGGTTTCTAAGGTAACGATGAATTGACATTAGGAAAAGATAAAGGTCCTGCGATGCCAACTTGTACATGATTGGTTCGGTTATATCACATATAGATGCATGATGTATGTGTGCCCTCTGGCCGGGAGCAGCAACGTTGTTGCCCTACTACAAGAAAAACATTCCCAAAACACGTGCTTATGGGCTATATCTAACACAAGGGTCAAAGACCAGGGCGAGGTGAACTATTTTTACCCAAACAAGTTTAAGGGATGGCATTGAACATCAGATGAAAATTAAAAGACTGGCGTAGCCTAAAGTTAAACATATTAGGTCGGGGCACATCAGTAAACAGAGTTTACTTAAATAAAAATCCATTCTTGAATAATTGCAATGACAAGGTTACACCAAACATGCAAAACCAAGCCAATGTTGTGCAGAAGCTCTGTGATAAACAAGACTGCATCTGGATAAATACTGGAAACTTCCTCGTTCGAAAATGATAGAGCAGAGACATATACACAGAACTCTTCACCACAACACTGAAAGGACAAACTTGACACGCCCATGATGATTGAAAGCACGACGAGATAAGTTAGGGCAATATCTTACCAAATGAATGGATAGAAGAAGAAAGAATGTTTTTTTGGCTAAAATATATCTTGCAGCCACCCTAAACTTGCTAGATATTAATTAACAAATAACGAATGGCGTTAGTGGCTTTATCTTTTTTTCTCTGCCAATTTTGGTTCAGGAAGCGTTCCAAAGATTCTGTCCCACAGTGCTGAAGTGATCCCGAAGCCTTTGTCTTGTACGCGGAAATGATGGTTCAAGTGATATTTCTGCATTAGAAATGCCACTTACATAGCTTTGGTTAGCTGTGAGAAGAATTGCCCAAAACATAAAGATTTACCAGTAGAGAATCAGCGCATGCTACGTGGGTTTTCGAATTCAATCACATCCGAAGGAATCAGATCCTGAATAACCCACAACCCAAAACCCAGATTCCCTCCACCAACTCTCGAAAAAAAAAAACGAAAAGAAATGAAAGCCAAGCCATGGAAATAGAGGGAAGAAAATAAGGACGATCAATGCATTAAGGATTGAGGCAAAAAGAGCAGCATATCCACAAGTATTACCTTGAGATTTCGCGGCACTTCAACGGATGGCTGTCCATGATGCAAGTAGTAATGGGTGCAGTCATATATCACATAACCCAGCAAACCACCCCCAAACAATGCTGGAGTGGTAGAAGGCGTAGACATGAGCTTGACCAGGTTCCAGAACTGGCAAGAACATATCGCAAGAGTCACAACTTCAGCAGATTTAGTGCAAACAAATACATGATATAAGTTTGACGCAGCAACTTAGATGTGTGTACTCTTAAAAAAAAAAGACAAAGCTGAAGCAGTGCCTCTGTTAACTGAAGCAGCAGCAACGTCGCTCTAAAACACCCAATAAAATTTCTTGAAACTACCATTGAAGCTGGATAATCCACTACATCTTCCAATTTAAAGATAATAATTCTTCCCCAGCTAATTCAAGCCTCTTTCATCCACATTATATTCACTCATTACAATGCGAAACAAGTCCAGAAGGCGCCCCAATGGATTACAGTACTGCAAATTAATACTCGATGGAGCAACACACAATAAAGATAAATTATGTCCAATGGCCGGAAAATGTTAAATCTTCACTATGCCGTCGTTAAGTCCTGATTTTGATTAAGACTTCGTACCTCGTGAGAGCCTTCAACTAATTGCGGTCTCAACTTAAAATCCCCTTACTGTAACTTGCAGCAAAACACCGACCCTAGTTTATGAACTTTTATATCCCACCATCCTCACAATCCAGCTAATGCTAGTTTTCTCATATATTTCATCCTATTTCATGACATCTATGGCATATTCTGTAGTTCTCTACTAACGAATGTCGGAAGATCGGACTTTAAATTCACTAGCTAAATCATTTGCTAAAGATATATCGCTAGCTTCAAGAGTTATTTACTAGCCTCTGTAATCCAATGGGGATGTATTGCAGGTCAAGTAATTGACCAGAACGAAACTCCGATTAATATTTTAACAGACATGCAGAATGTTTTAGTCACACTCCATCCTCGATTATTTTTAGCTATGATCCATGAGTACTCAGTTCAGTAAGAAAGTTTATACGCTGTCTCCTGGGAGTAAGTAGGATATACTTCATTATATGCTAAGAATCCTAGCAGAACTCAATTAGCGGAAAACATAAAGCAAGCTAACAACATTGGATGATGGTAAGGACAAAGGAAATACTCATACAGGAATGCAGAGAACAGCTGTTCCAGCTGGTGGAAAGACGAGCCGCAGGCCATCCATAGGATGTTTGTGATGGCATCCATGGATAAGATAGTGTACAGTGTTCCACCTAAGTCATTCTCAGAGATGTCAAAAACTATGTGTGGTTAAGGAGAAAGAAAAGTCAGAATAGACATCCACAAACATTCAGAAAAACATAACTCCTAGATGAGAGAGAGAGAGAGAGAGAGAGAGAGAGAGAGAGAGAGAGCGCTCACCAATAACTGTTCGTGTTTATATGGAAAATGAAACGGTGCAGAGAGTACTCCAGGAATGTCCAGACAAAGATGCCCATAATCACCAGTAAACCTATCTCAAGAGCTGTGTGGCCCATACGCACAGACATAGAGATGCACCAGCATACTACAGGAAGCCAAATGATAGGAACTGCATACCATCGGGTACGGGTCAAGAACTGTTTCAAAGAAGGCAAAGATTTGTTAGTAGATCTAACAGCACTTAGCAGCTTGTTTTTTAAAGATAGGCCATATGCTATTTCATGGAGTACCTCCCAAAAGTCACTTTCAAAAAATCTAGGCCCTGTCTTGCTCACAATGGGTTGATGGACCCACTCCTGATAAGATTCACCTAAATGACCAACCTGTCAAAGAAACCATATGTACAAAATAAATCAATATTAAGAGAATACAGTGGCAGGGGGAGTGTCACAACAGTAAGAAATAAATTTCTAAATAATGGAAAAAGAGAAGAAATGGAGAGAATCAAAGAGACGAGACAGAAATTTATGATAATTAGAGCTCAATGGTCCGTCAAGCGCTACATCCGAGAACATGACACTACAGTTAATTCTCATTCAGTCATGCTACTGCATACCTACACGACTGACCTAAGTGATTTAAAATGTATGGACAGAGAAATTCAATACCTTTCTGAAATCCAAAAAAAAAAAAAAAAAGAAGAGATCAGAAGAAAGCTGGGTATGAAATTAAATACCTGGAAGACGAGGGGCTTATTCAGATCAACAGTGAACTCCTGAGCAACCATCTTGGAGAACTTGCAAGAAAGCTGCAGATGAATGGAAGGATCAGAACAAACGAAAGCAAACGGCAACCTAAGAATTTCTCTAAGCATCAATACAGTCATGGCATTCTCACTTTCCTTGGTACCAAATGTTTCACAACAAGTGAAGCCATCATAAGGTGAACTACACCATACACCATGAACCAAGGCAAAAGACAACAGGGAAGTAGCACCAAGAAATCCGAAGACAACCCATTAGATTTATTTTGTAAACATTGCGCACCAATTACTTCAGAAAATAGTCTATTTGGCAGGGCATTGTATTATAGATTACTCAGCAAATGTCTTCACGGATCAATCTTTCGATATGGCTTTGCAAATCATTCCCAACTCCCCTTAAGCTTAGCATTATCACAAATATAAGACTTGGACAATTTCCTGATGCTTCAACGTGAAGAAAGCAACACTGCCGATATTACACTGCGATTGGAGAATGTATAAAATCTTGTTACCAAACAAAGGGTGACATTGAGTTATGGATGGATACTCTGAACTCGGCAACGTTATCTGTTATCCGACGGGAAAGGAATCAAACAAGGTAGCGATAAAGGAATACTAGCAAGCTTGTTTCTCATGGATCATCCACTAGCACAACTAGAAAAACATAAACCTTTCAGCAAAAACTTGTTAAAGGCTGAACCACCAAGAACATCTTGTAGGTGAAGGAAGCCACTTCTCATGAAGAAACTTCATGTATTGACATTAGCTTAAGACATTATATCCATCTCTTGAACGTGCATCATCAAGTCCACCCAAAAAAGCAACAGAATAAAACATTGTTTTCTTCCGCAGCTGGACCCACACTGGAAAAAGGTGATCCGCCCGACCGCAATTTAAAATGCGAGAAAAAGAAACGCACCTTTTCCCCAAGATTTCAAATCCAACACTCCCACTTCACCCTCAGAAAAAGTCAGCATCGGACGTAAGAAGCCTTACATGCTACGGAAACGAAATCGGTACCGTTCAAATAAGAAAAGGGAGAACCCCTAGACGAGCTAAGCTACCACCTTCGCATCCGCAAACACTCGGAACACCACACATCGGATCTGAACGCAAACGAAGCACCAAATCAAGAACGACAACACCCGGTCAGACGAAGACCAAGAAACGGACGCGGCCACCCAAATTCGACCCCCACCAACGCAAATGCCCAAGCACCAAATCAAGAACGACAACACCCGGTCAGACTAAAGCCAAGAAACGGACGCGGCCACCCAAATTCGACCTCCACCAACGCAATGCGCCGTCGCCGAACACCACCCCGAAACCAAGAATCCCAGCAACCCAACTCCCCAATCCCCACAAGTTCCAGCCACGAAACACCAATTCAGAGAAAACCCAGATCTACAAAAGCCCACAATGCCGCAGAAAAGCAAGAGAAGAAACAAGCAAGCGAACGAACAAACGCGAACGCTAACCAAGACGAAATGGGGGTCGGATCTAAATCTGCAAACGACAAGAACAGCACCGCCACCGCACGGCGTCGCCCCCCCACGCTTCCTCCTCGTCGCGCTGCGTCGGGTGATGATGGTGAGAACGACGGACGGACGGGACGGGGCGGGGTGGGGCTCTCGTCCTCGGCTTTTTCTCGTTGGGGGGAGCCCGAGAAATGCTTGCGAAACGGATGGACGATGGCGGGCGTGACAGGGTGGAGACGGGAGGGAGGGGAGGGAGGGGCGAGATTTTTGGGGGGATATTTAAGGTGGGGGCGAGCCGGAATGAAATCTGGGCCGTCCGTTTCGAGTGCGGAAGGGGGGAGCATCTGGGGATTTTTTTTTTTTTTTTCGGGCTTGGGCCCCCCCTCGTCGTTTCGGCGCACAGGCTGGCGGAGGAGGAGGAGGCCCCAGCTCGTGCACAGCTCAGCCCACTGGAGAGAAGAAAAACAGGCGAAAGCACTTACCCCCTCCTCCTCCCCAAAAGCGGTGTGCGTTCGGAATTTGATTTGGTTGGATGGACAGAAGGGCGATTTGGCAATATCCTAGGATGTAAAGGAAGATGTCCGAGAGGTGATTTGGTCGGGACGGGCGGGGCCCGCCCCCGGGGGAGATTCTTGCCCGGACCCGAGCCCATCGATCTCGAAACGATAAACCGACCCTTGTTGTTCGTGCGAAGTTCAGGTGTATAGTATATTACGTGATAAGAGGGTTGCGATGAATCCGGTCCATGTGAGTCGTCGGAAAAACTTTTGTTTCGCCCGTGTTTTTGTAGCTTGCGCGATGGCTCGTAACACTTATTAAGGCAATCGACTGAAGAAGATTTTGTTATATTTTGATGCGTTGATTTCTGTGTAAGGAATGCTCTGGAAATCGAAACTTTGTGCTAAATGATATGCTAAATGAGTTGACATAGCTTGGCTAGACAACAATTGACTTGGCATGCTCCAAGAGAATGCTTAGCATCTAAGGAAGCAAGTAACAACTATAATTTGGCAACGGTATACCACAATCACTTGTTTGGAAACCAATATTACAAATCAGATATATTATAATCAGATTAATCATGTTGGCAACGGTATCTAAGGAATGCTCTGGAGATCGAAATTTTGTTTTTTTTTTGTTGTAGTTGAAATGAAATAATGATAGTTGTGGTTCGTTTAAAAAGTATCATGTGTTTGTTTCACGGAAAACGTAACGTTTTTGAAAAATGTTTTTCTGGAAATCATTTTTTAGGAAAACAGTTAGTTTTCCTCTGTTTGGTAAATATGATCGAAAATGTTTTCTAGGGTTTGGATATTATGTGAAAAATAATTTTAATCTCATGACTTTATCTTGGACAAAAAAATTAGAATTTTCATTTTAAAAAAATTCGAGTTTTATATTAATTTTCTTTTTTAAAAAAATTCGAATTTTTAATTATTTTTATTTTTCTTTTCTTTTTTTAAAAAATCGAATTTTTAATTATTTTTCTCTTTTCTCTTTTCTCTTTTCTTTTTTCTTTTCATTCCTTTTTTTTTCCTCTTCCTCTGCCACGATCGGCTGGCGACGGCCACATGTGAGCTTAAGGCTCGGCGATGGCCATAGGTGGTCCAGCTTGCCGGCCTCGGCTAAGCCCAAGCTCGCCTAGATCCCGACGAGCCACAACCTTGTGCCGGCCCTGCCTGTGGCCGGTTACCGGGCGAAGGGAAGAAAAAAGAAAAAGAACAGGAAAGAAAAAAAATAAAAGCAAAAAAATAAAAAAGAAAAGAAATGAATAAAATATTAAAAAAGTTAAAATGGGTAATTCCGGAAAGAGTTTTCACCTCCTTAGATTAAGAAATTCACTTTCTTAATATTATACATAAATATTTTTCTTGATCGGAAAGTATTTTTCGTTAACTTATCATTTTCGGCGAACCAAATGGGTGAAAGTCTGGAAAACGAATTCCCGGAAAACATTTTCCCTCAAATAAACGCACCTAAGGCACTTGTTAAGGAGATGCTAATATATGTGATGCATGAGAGAGCGAAGTTTGATTCGCTGAGATCGATTGTAAAAGATATGCTAAATGAGTTGACATAGCTTGGCTAAAATACAATTGACTTGGCATGCTCCAAGAGAATGCTTAGTATCTAAGTAAGCAAGTAACAACTATAATTTGGTAACGGTTTACCGCATCAATTGTAGGATACCAATGTAATGAAATCATTCACCGTTTACCGTTCGTCACGAAATCATTCACGGTCCTTTCAAAGTAATCCCGAATATATTGATCGTGTACCGGGCTCCACAAATTGATGGCCCGACGATCTTGCCCACTTCACTCAAATTTCTCTCGAATAACACCATATATTCAGTCGAAACTTGTGATTATGAGAAAAAATATCGGTTAATTTGATGTATAGTGCAGATTAAAAAGGAAAAAAGAAATCAGGGTTTGAGATTTGGAAGCAGAACCATGTTCTAGGACCAGTTGTTCTGCATGGGCATTAATATAATAGGACCAGGAACATGGGACTATTCAAATGCAACAGCAAACCTCCGAGTCAGCGCCGCCAGTTACGTCCAAACAGCCTTTCTCCAAGCAAGGGAGACTACCCAACTACTTCTGTTCGGACAACCCTTCGGTTTATGTGTATTAGGGTTCTTTCTTTGTCTGGTTTTATATGCGATGCAGTCCACTGGATCACGTGGAGGATGGTTGTTTATTGCAGTCTGAGGAATGAGCAATTGATCTTGTGCTTGCCTGGCTTTTTTACTAGACTTCTCACACACTTGTACTAAGAAAAGAAGAGAAAATCGCGCTCCCAAACCCACCCGGGTTCGCTAAATCGTGTCCCAGGAGTAGATTGATACGTTTCGCTAACCTTCTTTCAAAAGCGAGCTAAAGTGTCTGGTTAAACATGGTGACTAGTCCTTTTATGTGCGATATTGTTATCGAATAGTTCACGAAACAAAGAGCGACGCATAGGCCAATCGTGGTGTGTGTACAAATATATATAGATGTAGAGCAACAGATAGGCCCGCTATTATAAACCTCGAACAAATACTAAAGTACGTATACGAAGGAGGCGACACATAGGCTTGATACTCAAAACATACATCGACAAGCATATATACCAAGGCGTCACATAGGCCCCATACGGTCTTGAATTCATTGTACAGATTTAAGTTCAATAAAAAATGTTTCAAATTTAATCAATGTAGTCATAACCCTTTACGTGAAAATGCAATCAAGTCCTTCCGGCCAATCACGATGAAGTGTCGCCTGAAATTTCCGACGTTACGGGGGTTAAAGCTGAAAGACAACCACTGGCACCGAAGGGAAAAGGAAAGGTCGAGAAGAAGTTTTTGCCATGTTCTATCCATGATGTATGCTTTTTCCTCTATTACATCTACTCGCTGATGAAAAAAATGGAGAGAAGGTTCGCTGTCAATCAATACAGACATTTGTAACAGATGAAATTGATAGGATTTTTCGGCAGAAGGATCAACATTCACGTCTCTTTACAAGAAAAATCGATCACTATCAGTAAAAAGTACTTAATCTCCTTCGCATTATACGCAAATCATTGCATCTCATGCCAATGCATTAGTTTACTGATACAAAAACAGCTTGTTCTCTTGTAAGTGATGCACGTCAAGAAGTTATTAAGAACGGGATTTTGTTCCAGTAGACGTTCTACGGTTCTACTGAGGCTGTTAGAGTTCATGTAACTCACAGAATGTCGGTCGATCTTGCGTTAGGAGGACAAGCCTCGGTTCTGTCTAAGGTTAGAGGTACCGGAAGAAGATCAACGCATGCAAAAAGGTCAACGATCACAATGGAATTGGAGGGATACCGAGTGGTAGAGAGCGAGCAGATGGAAGCAAAGAGTTCTCGTCACAGGTCTAGAAGAACCAACCGTGAACCAGTAGAAGTTTCACACTCTAACGGCGTTTTACGGCCGCTAAAAAGATGTTGCAATCCATCGGAGTCGGCTATGGAGAAGATCAAAGCAGTTTTGACATTATTTGGTAGAACTGAAGGAGTGTCAGCACGTAATGGTAGAGGTTTGCTCTTTTTCTGGGACCGAACAGGCAGAACCAAACGACTACTCCTCTAGGTAAAGACTCAGATGGTCAAAAGGGACTTAAAAAGTTCTTAAATACAAATCAAAGAGGTGGTTGGGAGGTTGGACGAACAGTAAGAACACTTCTCTCTTGCTGCATGAATCTTTCTCTGCTAAAAGTGTGCAAATATCTGTCGTGCTGTGCTTATGATTCTCATTAGAGGCGTCATCTGATTCTATTGTAGCTTTTTACCTGTAGAAGTAAATAGCTACGAGTAGAAGAAAGCACACTCGAGCAACCAACCTTCTCGAAATTGCATAAATGAATTTCAGTGGAGCAGGTAAGTGGATAGGTTGAACCACTGGACGTCGGATGCTCGATTCTTCTCCTATTCCTTCCTTTCTTACTTTATAGTAGAAGAATCCGCTTGTTTAATCACGCAACTTTTACTACACATAGGCAAAAACGCGTCCAAACGTTTCAATGAACAATCAATTCGCCCCATCTTAGTTATTAGTCCATATCAAATAAATCTTGGATCTCATTATATTGTATCTTTTCCTCTCACAATGGCTCCTATTACTTGCTTTTTAACCTTCAAGTTCTTGCATGTTATCAAACAACCAATTTGCTCCTCATGTCAGCTATTGTTTGCATCAGCATCTGGTTTTATACTATCTATAGTATTGTATAAAGAGAAGAGAGGCCCCCACTTAAGAAATGCCCTTTATTCTTCCTTAAACACATTTAATATCTTACTCTAGTTGTATACAATTTGAGGACAAAAATGTAAAATTCAGACTCTTGGTTGGTTTTGTTACTTTATCTCTCAGTTCATTTTTCTCATTATCGTTTCGTCTTAATATATTCACATTTATTTTACTTGGTTTAGACCTTCACAAACATATTAGGTTGTAAACACGCAATTTAGCGTGTGCAGGAGGAAATCTAGTCAGATGAATTATGTAATGTAATCAATGTACTGCACCACACGAAAGTTGGTCATGAATTCTTATGGTTGAGTGATGTTGCAAGAAAGACATGCACATCAATCATGATGTGACACATCTCCATTAATCTCCGATTA